ACATGTTCTGTGGATGGTGTGGAAACATGGAAGTCTTACAGCATCAGCTGTTGAGTCAGTAACATTGCATTCAGTATAGTCACAGACTTTGGTTGCATCTGGGAATGTTGGGACTTGCAGTGAGTGTAAGCAAATGGGAGAGCCTTTGCGTCGACAGTTGAGTCAAAGGTATGAAGATGATACATGTATTTCTTGTCATTTGTTTTGCCACTGCTATTTTGATTTTGCTGCACCTGAAACCAATACGTTTTGATCAAATGTGTCCCGGTTTAGGATCTCCATTTGGGTGTAAGGTTTCTCTGTAAGGTCTTACGGTCATTCTTGCTATGAGGTTGCGTGACCATAACAACCCACATGTCATAAAATACGTGCAAAAATCTGTACTAGAACTATTTTGGGAAGGCAAAACGTGTGTCAAGCAAAGAAAAATTAATCAGAATCGTTTTGACATACAATAAATACAATAAACTTAACAATACATCGCGACAAGAATACAATTTCAGTTTAATTGTTAAAAGATATTTCTTAAACGCTTTACAATTATTTAAAATATATAACATATAAATACACATAATTATAAAAGTGATAGAGGAATTTTAAAAGAACTTCAATCAAAACTTATAACTTAATTAATGAATCTTAGGAAACTCTGGAAACCTTCCATTTTTGTAACATTTTGAAGTATATCTATTTCTCCTCACTACCATTCTGTGGTAATAGAATAGAAAACTCTTTTTGGGCATTGCGCATAATATTTTCTTAAATCTGGAAGCCCACGTAAATACTTGTTCCGCAACTGGTGTATTCAAATGCGGATATACTTCTTTAAGGTCATCACAGGAATAATTCTTCCTACATGTTGGGTCTTTATGATTTCTTAAATGAAGCCTGTCGATTACCTTCCTAACCTTTAGCCACATATTGTTGTAGGGCGCAGGGAAAGGCAGGGACATTTTTGCTACTCGCATCTTATTTAGGTTACACATATTGTCATATGAAACAATTACGTCTTCCCATTGGGATTCGGGTACTTTTTCAATTCGCTTTATCAGGTAATGTATCGTCAACAGGAATACTTGTCCGGGTCCTTCAGAGCTAAAACGAAAAAAAAAAACGAACGAGATATATAATGGTTATGTTATGCAAGTCTTTACGTTTCAGTTTCTATATGTAATATATGTCATCTCAGCTGCTTGCGTGCTACGGCATTGATCACAGCTTCAATTTGTTTATGTTCTGTGACATTACTTACATATAGATCGGGTTCCATCTATCGATATGCCCTCCACCACGRACAAAATGGAGTAAACCACGGGACCATTTTCTTAACGTTTTTGACGATTCGTCAGTGTCCTTGTTACAATTTATTGCGGATGGTGTATCATCGACGCATTCAACAAGAAGGGAATGATGCATTTTTAGAAACTCATATGTTCCTGCGGGATTCATATAATGGAAATRATACAAGAAATGAATCTAACAGGATGATATCAAACAGGACTTCAGGATACAGTATGAATGAGCGAATGCATGAGTAAACATCGAAATGTAATACCTTGTGCCTCAGCAACAGAAGAGGTTACATTGTCACCACCGCTTAAGCCTGCAGCTGCTGTGTTTACTATTTCTGCATGAGCAACATTTATCTCTGACGCATAATCTGAATCTGTAAAACACAAAATATTATACCGGTTTCGATGGATAGTATTAGTAGTGCTGTTTCARTGTCACTGTATAGTCGTAGAACGTGATATAAAACCATTCTTTACCAGCAATATCGTTTCTATTTGATTTGGGAACTTTGCAGTAATCATGTACAAATTCCCTTAGCCCAGTTGGAATATTTTTACTGATTGCCAGCTTGCAGTGCTCTTCACAGAAAGCAGATTTCTGACTAGCCGGTTCATTTACACATACATCGGGGTAGTTTACAAGAGGCAARCCATTTACAGTTGTCTTTACTGGATACATGCAGTGGGGATGACGTAACTTCCATATGCCATCGAGGGACACAAAGTTCTCACACCCTGCAATTAAATTACCAAAGCCAAAGTTATAATGCCTTATATGTTATGTGTCGAWAACAATAACCATAATAAATAATTGTATTCTCTATTTCTTTGATGATATTACATTGTCCATGGATAACAATAAAGAGTATTTATGAATCAAGCACACCGTACGGTAGAAATAGGGCATTTTAACACTACTACGAGTATTGTTTTCCCTTTAGAATGAACCAACAGGTACAAACGAACGAAAAAGAAAACGTGTGAAGGRTTCTGAATGCAGTTAATGATGAAGTCGGTCCTATCCAGAAGACGATAAACATACAGACATGCAATTATCATATACCTCTCTCCTTACACATTGGAGAACAATCTTCTTCCGTGTGTACATATACTTCTTTTCTTCTACAGTTTTCCACATAAGAAAGGAAATCTTCCTTTGACTTTTCGGAACCTCCTTTAAAAATCCAATCAATTTGTCTTTCTCTCATTTCGGCTTCCATTTCATTCTGGAAGAATGCGCTAGAGACAATCCGTCTATCCAGACGATGGCCTTACAAAAAAGAAAAGGAAAAAGAAAAAAAAAAAGAAAACAATTTGGGTAACAGAACAGGTTAATATTTTCAAGTTTTGGACTTACATGCACACTTATATGTTTGTAGTACTCACAATCATCCTTKGTGGAGAAATGACTCAACAATCGCGGGTGATGAATGCGTGAAACAACTTCGTTGTAGCTTTCCGTAAATCCAACAAAAGAAGTCCATGCATGGTTTCTACAAGCAAATCAAAATAAATCCATATCAATAGCTAGAAAATACTAGTCTACTTTTATGTAGGTAATACTTACACTAGAGATGCCTGGAAGTTACAGAGGAATCTGTCAATATAAGCCTCGTCTGTGGCTTCTACATACTGTCTGGGTTCTTTATAAAATCGGAATCCTGATGCTTTGTTACCGTACATTGCATARCCATAGTTTACATCACAATTTGTGCAACGTAAACACTGTTTCAGAGTCGAAACAGCATATGTTGGTAAGAATACAGTCACCTTACATGGCTTATTGTGGCTCGTGAGAGTCTTACCACAACTCAAACATTCACTAACAGGAGGAAGCAACACTTGTAACTCGTCTTCTGGTATTGCATTAACTAATGGGCACGCATATGTCGAAAGGTCTGCAAAAAGTTCCATGTCGTTCTCAGACACAATACCATCAAGTTGCAAGTTTTCTTTAAGAAGAAATTTTCTGTCAGAAGAATTAAACGTTGTAGGTATTTTTCTTATAGCGTTGGCCAAATGTCCCAAGTCACGGTCTCCGATCTTGGCTTGAAGAATAACTCTTAAGTCGTTCTTGGTGAAATTTCCTTTCAAACTACCCAGTTCAAGAGAACGTAATTGTTCGATCGCCCCACATACGCTTTCCCTCTTCCTCTTTCTTTCTTGAACATTTTTGAAAAAATTGTCTTCAAATGCGGCCATTGCTGCAATAAACGATGTTTATGGAAAGGGTGTCCTCTTTTTTAGCTATTTATAAGGTGATCACACAGGTATGTTGATAGCGTGCACAATTGCGTGACATTTCTGCTCATTCATATCAGTACGATCGCCTGCCTTTTCACTATCGCTATTTTAACATAAATGTTTAAATGAAATTGATAAGCGACTGTCACCAGCTCATTAGCGCTACGTGAACAATATCACTCGAACGATATCACGCATCCATTCTTTCATACTTCCATAGCTTCTGCATCTGGCCTTAAGTGTTTTACTTTTTCTCTAAACATTTATATATATATTTTTTCATGCTCAAAGCATTGAAGGCAATATTAATATTTTAACGTAAATGTTTAAATGAAATTGATAAGCGACTGTCACCAGCTCATTAGCGCTACGTGAACATCACTCGAACGATATCACGCATACATTCTTTCATACTTCCATAGCTTCTGCATCTGGCCTTAAGTGTTTTACTTTTTCTCTAAACATTTATTTATTTATTTATTTTTTTTTCATGCTCAAAGCATTGAAGGCGATATTAATATTTTGGCAGGGACTTGATTTGGAAGCATTTCTTTGAAACGCTATGCTAGCGTGATCGGCATAGCACAAGGGTGTGTGACATATTGTTTTCAGACTGAACTGTGCTGTTGAACAAACAAAGCCAAACAGTAGCGGCAAAACGCGAAGACCAAGTAACTTCATTAGCTTGGTTATCAACCAAAAATGTTAAGATAACGATGCTAAATTAACACCGATGTAGTAACATCTAGGCCGATCAATATGGGTGCCGGTTTACATATCAGCGATCTATTCACACGCAAAGTATACAAATGAATATTTCATTGACATAAACTTTCCAGGGTAATTTTATTTCCAAGCCTTATAGAAGCTATACAACTGCAGATTCCAAACGCAAGTCAAAGAAAGAATGGTGTTCATATGTACCGTCACAAATATTGAGTGTAGGGTTGTTCTTCTTCAGTCCTTTTATCTGGTGCGGTAAAGCACCGCTATTGCAAATGCACAAGAAAGTTATATTTTTGCATGAAACACTTAAATAAAAATATACATCTTCGTCAACGTCACTCCCTTGTAGACATAAAGTTTTAAGGTTTACAAATCGCATCAATAATTTCAAAATGACAGCATTTGATAGAGGAATAAACGAGGTATCTAGCAGCTCCAGAGAATGACCAAATTCGTCCCATTCCAGTAACTCCAAAAAGAATTCCTCATTCCACATTTCTCCGCAACATCTTAGTTCTCTAATATTTGGCATGTGCCTAATAACTTTTGCAATGTCATTTGATGTGTTCGTCATCCTAAGGTCGAGGACTTGCAACTCTGAACATAGGAGGAGAAACCTCTTGTAGAATGTATCACTGAAATTCGTCAGACAAACACATAGTTTTCTAAGATGTGCAAATTTTCCTCTTTTCCCATTTCTGAGAAAACACTGTCCGGCTAGCGAAAAACAATTGAAGAGATCAAGATAGACTACTGAATGAACTTTCTTCAATATGGTATCCATTTGATCATCTCTCAATTTGTAGCTATTCATACGAGACTGATGGTCTTTAAAAGTTTTTGGTGTTCAACAAGTTCCATAAATTTCTTTGACACTCTTCTTAGGACGAGACGCTGCACAAACGGTACATATTCCAAAATATGAAAAGTAACGGCATGTGGRAGCGCAAACAGATTGAAATGCGCTTCCTCACCCATACCGGCTGCGACATCAATACTACTAAATAAGTTGCATACACTGTAGTTTGTTATAATGTGTAAAAAGGGTGGGGTGAACGGATACTTATTAGCTTATCTCAAATTCACTGAACAGCCGACACAGCACACATATTTCTATGTATATATGTCTCCAAAAAGTGAAAATTTAGGTGCGTGCACTACGATGTATACATTTCTTTATTCCATCATGTTCAATGTTCATTTGATACTCGTGTAAGTTTTTTTTAACCTTCTCCAACTTCGACAGGTCGTTATCACGCATCCTGGGAGGAGGCCTTTAAAAAAATGTTATCTTTGATCTTTCGCTGATGTTATCAAGCATTACGCAAAACGTTACAACCCTTTAAATAAACGCAATCTTTAACGTGCGCCACTATTCGCGTTAGCACGCATACCAGGACAGGCTCGAAGACACGGAATAATCGTTTGCCACTGCATCATAAAGTCATTTTCAGTACAATGTCGGTATACGGTATAGTTGTAGAAGACGGTTGTTATGGCATAAGGAAGGGGACACGGTTTCACCCGCTATCAAACTGTACTTTTCGTCTGGTTAAACCCGTGAAAGCCGGGTCACTGTCAGGATACCTCGCAAAAGCAACCCATAAGGATGGTACTGAGAGGTAAGGTAAACTTTCTTTCGCATTCCCCAACTACAATTTTGCGCAAGTGCGTTTATTCATATCAAATTAAAGCGTTTCCATTAACGTATTTTCTCGTTCACTTTTTAGTGAGTTGGACAGGTGATTTTTTAAAGTTTAAAGATTGTAAAGCGCTGGTTATTGAGATAGGTTTTTACTTGTACGCGAGTACCATACTTACTGCACAAATGTATATGTTGTGAAACATTTAATATAACAGTACTTTCACCTGACTATTATGCCGAGTTCAAATTACGTCAAAACACACCTTTATATTTGTAAGAGCATTCGGATAGGTCATTTCCAATGTTTAATAAAAATTCGCTAAGCCCAATAATGCGCTAACCCCATCCATCGCCAGTAATACTCAGACAGAATAGTAACTCCCTTTTTGCTTGCGATTCCTTTTCAGAGAGTTTTATTATCCTAAGGGTAGCATGCCTAAAACAAAGGTGGAAGATTTTGTTGAAGTACTCAACATTGGAAAAGGAGGCGACTTTTTCCGTCGGTTCTCCATACAAATGTCTAGCAACCAACTAGACGCCTTACTTTCTGAAATGGAGAACGAGATACAATTTCCGGAAAAAATCTTGAAAGCCGTGGCTGTTGTTGGTAAAAACGTTGATTTGAGTGATAAAACAACAATATGGGCACTCAATAGAGACACATTCCTTGATGAAGATGGGAATCTCACGGATCCGGAACAGCATGGGTTTATTTGGATCAGCCACCTCATCCGAGATCCAGGCATGGAGGTGGCTAATCAAGAACGAAGCGCCGACGTTCATCAACCTCTATCTTCTACTTACTTTGATTTGATGTGCCACTTCTTGAAGGGCTCGCTAAGTAAAGCTGTAGAGAATGATGTTCTATTATCTTTAGCTTTTGATGATGTTATAAATGGCTGCCCTTTAAGTGACGTATCACTGGCTGAAATGGAACCGGGGAAAGAATCAAATTTCTTACCGACATTCTTTACAGCTTCGATGAGCCTTATCATGGCTAATTATCAAGTGGTGAGTAGCTACATAGCATTATTCTTTTACTTGCAGTCAAGTCCAATGAATGCATCCAAATTGTGTTATGTTTGAAATTGCGAAATTCGAAGGATCATAGGTCAGCAACAATATCACAACAGATCTTGGAAAGATTGAAAATGTTGGTGCAGTATTTTCTAAAGCAGACATAGGTAGTGGCAATATAGTTTAAGTTGTTTACAAATCATTTTCTTTTCTTTCCATCAGTGGCAAAGTGTGGCTGGTTCTTTCCCCATACCTGCATCAGTTGGAGAACCAGATAGTGGAAAGTCTACAGCGTGCAAAGTGGCACTGGCACTAACAGGTGGCTGGAAACACCATTTCTTTACTGCTGTATCGGAGAAGGTATTCCATTCTAAACTACAGTTTATATGATATGCTTAGCCGAATTCTACTCAAGCAGTCACAGCGACCATCAAAGCGTTTGGCCCCAGCGCGGTTATGAAGGCCAAAACAAACAAACAAACTAACGAACAAACAAACAATTAAGGCTATAACTTTTCTAGTCACTGTGGATATATAAGAGGATCAAATCTATAGCTTTAATAATTACTGATCTTATCAAAATCCATTGTTTTCAGTCTGCATTATCCCAACGAATGCATAGAGGAAAATCAGACATATTTAGTTCATTCATTATTGGCTTTGTTTCTATGATAAGCAAGCTAGAAAGAAAACAATTGGATTTTGATAAGAACAATAATATATTATACTAGATAATTACTTCGGCACGCAGCATTCGTAGGTATAATGCAGGCAGAGATGGGAAAAACACTGAGATATTGTAATCATATAATACTAACTATGTTAAATGTTATGTTCGCGTGTTTTTTTTAATTGTATGTAGTTTATTGACATTCATTCTTCCTATATCCTATTTGAATGCCTTCATTTTGCCCTCAGATGAGTAACAAAGTTGCCTCCCAGACAACTATGGGTTTTCTTTTCGATGACCCCACTAAAGGCCAGGACCTAGGCGATGCTGCCAAAAGATTTTTTAATGAAGGAACTAGTATTAATTGCCATGGTGGATCGAGCCCTCTTTGTTGCCCTTTATTTTCAATTAATCATCATGTGATGGATTGGCTGCTAAAACCAGATCGTGCCAGGTATATTTTTCGTTCTCGCACAATGAATTAAAAACTGTAGATTAGTAAATTAGCAATAAAAGGGATTTTTATTTTTTATTTTTTATTCACTAGGGTGGTTATAATCTGTGTGGGAGTCTAGCTCACAACGTTAGGTCCATTTTAACTCGGAACTCGCTCCTAGTTTTCGTGCTTATAGTGGGAGTATGGCAGAGATAGACTCCCCCTTCCTTCCCAGTTCCCCTCCCGCCCCCTTCCCGCTCCCCCCATCCTAAGAGAGGGCCACTGTACTCAAGTTAAATAAAAAGTTGCATATTTTATTTGTTCTGTGAAATTAGTTACACCCGGTTATACTATTAAAGAAATAAAATTAATTTTGTTTTCTGATAAGGATGCTTGCCAGAGTAATATTTATCCCATTCAAAAAAGAGGTTCGGGATATCGCTGAGGAGAATGAAACCATATGGCATCAGCTGTTCGAGAGACTTTTGGTCTTCATTTCCTCTACTGTTGGAGAAGTTACACGATTTGGACAGTGGTTAACAACCACAGAGGGAAAAGAAATCTTCAATGAGTGCCTTGKAATTGTAATCAAAGGTTTTGGGGAAAACGGCAAAGGCACACGTCTTGCAAAGATGTGGGCATGTGGCTTGTTGGCGGCAAGGAAGGTAATCATGGTCATGAATTATTTCATAGTGGCTTAGAACTATTGTCACTGCAAACTACAAATTTTTCAGATGCAGGAATTAACTACAGCTGTAAACGATGAGGAAATCATTAAATTCTTCATGGAAGAAGTAGCTCCACATGTGCTTCGCTTCCAGCAGCCCTTGCTGCATCAGAATCCTGGCAAATCACCTCATACATCGGCAATAGCCGCTGAGGGAAGAGCAGAGTTCATTTCACGGTTGAGTTCCAAGCTGGTGACAGCTGTGGAAGGTTCATCAAAGGAACAGGTAATTTTGTTGGTAGTTTACAACTGTGACACATGTGCACATGCCTGGGTATCGATTTTTACGTGTTTTTGAAAACATATGTTTCAGGCACAGCAATTTTTAAGAACCGACTGTACTTCTTCCAAGCTGTCAGCTGGCGGTGAACAGGAAGGGGTAATTGCCATCAGAGCAGAGTTTTTCCAAGAAAAGTGCTCGGAAAAGCAGCTTACTCCCATGAAAGCATCCGATTTGCGGACTTCAGTTCAAGCTTTCGGAGTTGGTGAGTAAATAGTATAGCTAACTTATAGTACTAATTGAAATACCATACAATCACAAGATACACCTTAATCACACACAATGTTGCAACCACTAATTAATTAAATTACATCTTTATCAGGTTTAAAAACGACCGAACAACGCTTTTACTCGCCAACGAGTAAAAAGCGAAAACAAAAGAGTTGCGTGATGGTTAAAAGGTCGCTGTTTAAGAGTGAAACATTAAACGCTCTCGATGAAGGTAAAAGAAATTAAATTGTTAACCATTATCGTTTACGTTTTCCGGCCTCATTCCACAACAACGTATGTGTTCAGTTCCGTGGATTATCAGGTCTTGTTCACTAACTACGATTTCTACAACCACCAATTAAAAAAGCTCATTATTGAGAGAGATCCAGAAACATTATAACATACACTCACAATCTTTAAAGACCCATTGCCACTTACCGTGATGCACCGCGGTCACAGATGAATTTCGTGGTCCATGAAATTCAAAGATTCATATATTGAATAATAACTTCATATTAAATCCTTTTCCGACATAGCACTAAGGCACAATAATGATTCTTTTACATTCTTTTAAGAGTTTATTCAAAAGGTTGGAATTATTTTGTCAGTGGTGACACRATTCAAAATGTAAACAAATTGTGATGCATCGCGGTAAGTGGCAATGGGTCTTTAATTCCCTCTCAAACTTTCTATCACGATAAGTATTTACTATTCATTCGAAATTTCAGTTATCATTGACTGAAGGCCATAGAAGGGGCCGTGGTTCTATGATGCTTAAACTATCTATACTTGCTATCATCGATACCATCATCATCATCGTCGTTACTAGATCTTATTTATTGTTATTATTTATCCACATTTGGCAAAAGCTACAGGAATAACAACAGCTGATCATGATGTCGGCGAGGGAAACATTACAATTACTGGCTCAGGTGCGTCATAAAGCCTGCGTGTAAGAACTATCGGGTCATATTTATTCACAGTATTATATATAAAGCACTGCATCAGAAATCCAATTTACATAATTAAACTTTATGGTAAATTGCAATGTAAATATCGAGTTTTGGAATTTAATGGAATTTAATCTAAGTAAATTTCGCATTTGGGGTTTAATATGTTTTAAAGCTCAAGTAAATTTCAGATTTAATTGCATTGTTCTTAATCTTAAATTTGATGGTAAATTTAGAAGTAAATTACAAGTAAATTCAAA